ACGCAGTTCGGCTTGTTGGGAAACTGAATGGAACTCAACCAAGCCCGAGCGGGCCACCTTACGAAGTCCTGTAAAAACTTGTAGCCAAAATGGCTTCCTGTGCCATTTCGCAGCTTCACAAGAGTTTACCTGTTAGTCCACATTAAGATCAATGGTGACTAGCGAAAATGCGAAATGCCCCTTCCAAGCCGAATAGCGCCCCAGCCACTTCACATTATAGCCAGCTGATAGGATGGGTGTGCTTGCAGGTGGCAGCTCTTCACCAAACAAACAGTCGGGGGACCATATCCCGGCTCGACTCCCGCCCGGGCCTATCAAGCATCCCACCTCTTGCGTATATGTTAACTTGTAGAATATCCTTCTTAGAGACAACAGCACTGGTTAGTACAACCGCCAACCGCAGGAAAGTCACTGAATGAGGTAAACACATACAAACCCTGCAATTCGGAAAGGATTACGAATGTCTGGCACACTCTAAAGCATCAAAGGCTTTTATAAATTTGCCTCTTCTTGTAGTTCACCATGGAAATGGTTTCATTCGATGAGACCTCGGTTGGATTGGTAGCGATATCGGATATGCGCCTCAAAGGTCTACTGTGTTCCGAAGAACCACCACCAATCGTTACTACGATCGATCCACCAACGGTAAGGACACTTTCAATTTACCAGTCTTTTTCAGGCGTTCGATTTATTGTGGTCGTTTTTCCATAATATTCATCGCCGCCATACGTTCCTGCCGGTTCTGCTGGAGTATCTACTGCAGTTGCGAAACCTACTGTTGAGCGGGAGAGGGGACTGGAAGGGGGGGGGTGAACGTACGTAAAACGGGAAAGACTTAGAAAAGTCCTTCCCGTTTTACGCACCTATGGAGCCGTACATGTCGTTTGCTGAGAAAAGTCAACACCGAGAACATTTTCTTTGGGAACAAATACTACTCCCTCCTGCTTTCCTTCCCTTTCAGAGACTAAATATGGTCTCCCTTACTGGGAACCCCCAACGTACGACGTGCCCTGTCCTCAGATACTTTTGACAGGTGCTTCATTTTTCTACCAGCCCTGCTTCATCACACGCTACTTTCAGATTGTCTCCTTGTTTGGTCTACAACAAGGTCCTGGCGTGAACGTGCCCTACACACTCGATCTGAACTGTGATTTCTCAACTGATTACTGCAGTCAGTGGGTGAATGATGACGGTGTAGTGGCTTACGGTGTAGTACCGAGGGACAGCGAAAGGTTCCCAGTACCCAAATATATCAGAGGTAAGCGATATGTTCGATGGCGATTCCTGTGTCAAAGAGTCACGTCTCTATTAGCCCTCAAAAACCTCTTCCGGTGCTTGTTTCACGAACCAAACTGTAGAGGGCCTTAGTCACTAGACTCCTCGACACCCTCCTCTTCACCTGAAAGAGCGGTGTATCAGTGAGGAAGTTGCAGATGGGATGATAATGGGGTCGGTCTTTGTTTACAGCTGCCCCATCCCCGCTCACAAAGTCTCGTGTAGCCGTGAATTCTGTAATGACAGGATAAACACCAGGTTGGCATGGTCTTTAGAATAACTTTTTTACCTGAGTACCGGGGTATGTTTTCACGATATACCCCTGCTCCACACATGACCATCCCTGGAAGCAGCCCCGACTCGGCCAACAGAGCGTAGGAGCCGTGCAAAGAATTGACCACGGACTCTCAAAGCATGCTCACGCTGTCAATTTGCATGTCTCGGTTGATGTAATTAAAGGCACGCCAGCGTTCAAAATGGTGAGTCTTAGAGCTCAGATATTAATGACAGGATGGTAAACGCTCTGATATGAAGAAGAAAGGCAGAAAAACCGCGGTCGTAAGTGCCCCGTATAGCACCCCATACAGAGCCGCACATGTGCGTGCATAAGGCAAAGAAAAGGCATGGTCGGACGAGTTCCCACTTGTTATCCCACGAGTAAGCCATACTATGCCATGATCAAATGCCACGCCTACTCCATCTCAGTGATAAGGAGTATACCTGTGCTCTTTTATTAATGTTTTCTTCGATAGTTCTTGGTCTTCTTTTCAGATAAGAAAACCTAGATCTTGTAGACTTGCAGAAACAAGTAGGAAATTTCCAGGTAATGCGGCCACATTCCTGCTAGAAGGGGCAAAAGCCTCAATGCTACGCTCAAGAGAAGTACCATGCGCACAAGATGCTACTGTCAATGTGACTTACATGAGGTTTGTTTGTCTGGATTTCACAGACCCAAAAACTCAGGTTATCAGAAGCAAGGCAGCGGGCTCTGCCGCTGGAGAAAGATGCCACCCCCACTCCCCTCCCCCCCCCCCTCCGAATTCCCTTCTCTCGTACGACCTCCCTGTCCCATCCCACATCCTTCCTACCGCCTTCCCAGACTTTCTCCGACCTTCTACCACTTTTCGAAAGAAATTCTTCAGATTCCCTCAAAAAACTGAGCAGGGGAGGTCTAAAGCGCAGTGATAAGGAAATACCAACAATCAACAACATAGCTCATTTGTGGGTAAAGAACTTCACTTGACCTCCAGCGGGACTCGAACATTCACGTCACGCTTACCAAGCAAGCTATTACACCACCAGGCCGCTTTCTACAGTCTAATCATGATTAAGAAAAGTTCGAAACCTTATCTATCAACTGTGCTGACCCGCCTTGACAGTAGGCTTTGACACGGTCTGTAAAATTACCAAGAGTAACAGTTACATAAGAAGGTCTTAGAAGTGAATCAATGCCCTTCCGAAGACCTTGTGCAAAACCGGGATGAACGCAACAGAGAGGAAGACTTCCAAGCTTGAAATGTAGAGGAGCTTCCGAAATTGTGAACCAGTTTCAGCTACAGTAATCTCTTCCTCACTGAGATAGTCTCACATTGTACAACGGCGCCTCGAATGTCTCTCCCAAGGTTATGAGCACCAAAATGTGTAGCAAAGGCAGTTCGACCTCTTGAACACGAATCAACGAATGACGTCCATTTGCTATGTAATGACTATCTACGGCAGATCGGAGCATGGAATGGTTCGCCTGTGCGCTCTTGGTCGTTGTGCAGATGGTGGCAAAACGTTCGGTCACATGGCAATACAGGCAACATCCCAGGAACCTTTTGAGGTACATATTGTATCTGTTTTTGACGTTGAAGCGCAAATCGTACGCTCGATCTGCCGAGGGCGGTATTTGACCGATCGTCGAGAAGAACGAGTTTCAGCTGTGCAACGCGACACCTTTCGCGCGAGAGGCGCCCTTGGCACTTGCGCCCGCGCTGTCTCCGAGGTCCCAGCGCTTGCGTCGATATAAAAGATCCCTGCAGAACACGCCACCCAGCTGTAAGAACACAGAAGTGAGAGGGAACAAACAAGTAGCGCGTTGGCTCATAATTTAGGGGTGGTAATGTGCTGGTCAATGCTGGAAGCACCGGGAAAGTCAAGAGAATGGTACCGGATTTCACTACTCTCCTGCCCCGTCCGGTGCACCTTTTGACGCGGAAACAGCTGCATCCTCTCAGTGTGCAGGATCCATTCACTTGCGAAATGGAAGAGAAGAGGATCTGAGGACGTGATGGAATTGTTATTTCAGTGTATCCTGTATTTTTCCTTTCTGATCTCCGTTGAGTCTGTCGGCACTGGGTCTGCTCATTTAGTATTCCACAGCGCCAGAACCAGCAATAGCGGGCAGGCAGCAACCGCTCTGCGAGTAGGAATTTTACTCAGAGCCACGAATTTGCCGTACTTTCGGAGGCTGTTAGGTGGCAAGTCTTTAAGTGGGGCTTATGACGGCTCGAAGATCTCTTTATTGTACGTAGGTCTTTCCCGGTGTCACTCGAAAAACCCATGAAGTGTAGTAGAAGGGCATAGCATCCTAACGCCTGAACATCACGTCGTGGTCTCTGACCTGGAGCACTCTGATGGTTGTGGAAGAGGTTCATACAGGATTTGGTGAGAGGGGCTTGCACAAAACTGGGTCTGGCACGGGCTTGAGAGAGGTTTTTATTGTCGTTTCCTATAGGCTTTTTGCGATTTTCCTTTTCTCAATGTGGTATTAGGCTTTTTGCGATTTTCCTTTTCTCGATGTGGTATCCCCCCCCCCCCACGACAGGCCCCGCCCCGCAAATCTAAGTTTGTCGCTGGAATCGAAAGTTGGAGGCCAGTAAAAGTGAGACAGAGATAGGGCTGTGTTGAGAGTTGAAAGTGAAGGTGTTTCAGGAACTTTAAGCAGTAAGGCACGATGGTTTCCTACTTAGCCTAAAATGCTAGTAGGGCGCTGTATAGTGGGGAAATGGCGAAAGAACGGAGTGAAACGGTCAAAATCCGGCGAAGAAAAAGCCTCCGTTCTCAGTGACTTGTAAATCGATTTCGGACGAGTTTCCCGTAGGCATCTTGCCAATCACCGCTACCGAAAGTACGGCTGCATATGTGTACCCATGTATGCATGCAGCATCACAGCCGCTTCATACTTTATACCAATCCCTTCGCTTCATGATTTGACTTAGCAAAGAATGAATATACGAGCGTCAGAACGGTCGTCCATTTGTGGACAGGCGGGCGTGGCGGGCGTTTGGGACGTAAAGTGTAGGCTTTAAGGGCTCTCCTATACGGGGCAAACTCTCCCTCGGTGAAATTGCTATGCAGCGCATGCCCAGGTTCGCAGAATTCTATCCTGCCAGGAGTATTGATCGTCGTCTCGGGGGATTTATCGTGCCAACTGCCTTTAAGCCTCGACTATGGACAGACCCAACCCTGTTAGACGATTTGCTCATAACCGCCACTGGCTTATAGTCTTGTCTTCTCTGGCCCTGGGATCGTCTTATTATGCGGTGTCAGCGCCTGCATAACTGCCAGCCGCGAACGCTACCAGCAATCCGCGGCCCCCATCACTTACCACTACTGGTAAACCGAACAGGCTCGACACCCGCGCTACAATCCCAGCCTCTTGTAAGGCCGCAGCGCTCCGCCATGGAACAACCAACGGTATGAATCTTGACAGCAATACTAATGATGTGGGCATGAGTATCCCGGCATTTCCACATTTATATGGCCCGCGACTCGGATACTCGCTTCCCCATTCGATTCTCGGTGGATGTCAGATGCGCGAGAACAAAAAGACTGGTCGATTCAGGGACTAATTTGCCACTCATCTTTTTTTTGACTCCAATTGTATTTGTTCAGTTCTCCATTGAAGCGGCATCACGAAAGAATGCCATCGTTGTGATCAATAGGATTGACGTAACCGGCAACGTGTGCAGACTCAAAACGGCCGACCAACTGGTTTGCGATAAGCTGTTGTGTACATTTAATGGTGTGTGAAGTTTTGAATTTATTACTGTAACACAATCAATCGCAAAAATTGAACAGGTTCCTTTCTAATCGATTCTGATTATTGGGACTTCAGAGACGTGAAGCTTACATAGGAGGCGTGGTCAAACTTTGCCTAGGGTAGAACGTGTTCGAGCATTCTGGAAATCACAGCAGTACGTGGCGAAAACTTCTCCACATTCTATGCTTCGGAAAAAAGCCCTAAGTGCATGCTCCTTTTTGTGGTTACCTTAGCAGCGGTAACCCGAACGCACTCTGAAAAGCCTCGTAGTTGAAATTCTCTGTTTCAACCTGCCACTATAACACAGAGCTGGGGGAAGGGGTGATTCGTTTGCACACACTAACTAATAGGGCCCACCATCGTGGAGATTTCCCCACTAGGGGATCGCGTTTGACCGTTGAGATGGGGGGGGGTCGCAATGAGAGGGTCGATTAGTATGGAACAGCGCAAAGGGGAAAGAGTGTGATTTCTAGTTGAGTGCTATCAGCGTGGAATGTGCTACTGACTAGATATACCTTCTAAGAATTATTCATTCTTTAAACTCTCTGTCACTATAACTGCAGTTCACTTCCCATTTCTCTGCAGGATAATTGCAAATATTTTCAGGAAATCTGTGCAAATATGACTCACCTCTGCAAAAAAGCAGTGATATCCCGTTAGTCGCCGGCCCAGAAGGTTGGCTAATCTTTCAAAATTTCGGTATACTCGTACACTGATGAGGACATTGATAAAAGTGTAACTACCAGTCTTGTCCGCTGCGGATGATAGGGAGTGTCAGGGCGGGTGGGGTTTTGGCGTGGCGCCAGACCATTTTTTCTTTGGCAACAACAGAAACGATAATGAGGAACGACAAGACTGGGCGCACTTCGGCAACGGGAGGGGGGTATCATGTCGTTCGTATCAGTCATCTACCACCAGTTATTGTCTACCCACTTGAACAACTTGTGGAGAAAGGGCTAGCGGCGCGCCAAACACAGCCTCATTGGCACGCCCCATCATCCGCAGCGAATAAGACAGTAGTTTGTCCGGTAGCAGAGCACGTCATGCGCAAGGCATCCCCAGCGGGAGGGAAATATTTGACCTGAGAACTTTTTCTGATTGTTGGCTTTTCTTCCACGCGCACGATATATGCACCATTCCCCCCCCCCCCCCTCAATTTCGTTAGCACGGGAACACTACCACTGTTTACTTTCCCGTACAACCCGGTCGTGGAAAAGGGTTGTACGTATTCGGAAGAGGGGTCGTTTTTACCAAACCCTTAGCACCACAATGGGCACTGTTCAGCGACGGGGGAGCATTTTGCACTTTCACTGCTACACTAGTTAGTTCCGGTTTTCAGGTTTCATCCTGACAAAGCCTGTGAACTCTTGTTAAGCTAGAGTAGTAGCTACCATGATGAAACCTATCAACCCTTGTGAGCTCATAATAGCTCTCTGGTTAGTAGCAAAGTGCGAAATGCCCCCCGTTGCCGAACTGCGCCCACCACGATGTGCCCTCTCCAATAGGGATAGGGCCGGTAATGAGGTCACCCATACGCTGACGAGTCCAATCCACGACGTGAGTTCCTTCTTGTCGCTAGGAAGAGGAGCTGTATTTGGTTCCCACGGCGGATTTCGACTGCTGGAATTTCCTATTCCATGCGCCCCATATGTCTTCCCCCACCGCTATCGTTCTCGTTTCTTTTCGGAGTGCTTGTGGTGGGGGTCACGTCAAGAAGACAATATGGAGAAGGGTGGTTTTACCAAAGATTTTCATCGATACAACGCTTGGCCTTGGTATAAAAGTGGTAAAAAGTTGTCGAATGAAAACAAAGATGCAATGTGTTCAGGAGCGACAGCCACACTGGCTATAGGTTCTCATCGAGCGATTCTACGGAGTGCTCGATTCGATTTACCGTCTCCAGTTATGCTAAACATCACAATCACACAGGCTACTTACGGATCACGTGTGCTTCTCTGCCCAGACATCACCAGGTCAGATTCCTATACAGATTTTTTTTGGTTTGAGCTAACTATTCAGATGCTCGTGGTAAGGGTGGCAGACGGTGGCATGGGAAGACGGCGGGTGCAGGGAGATAACGGGAAGAAGCTGGAACAAGTCTGTTATGGGGAAGGGGAGTCATGTAGTGGTTGTCCCTTGCAGTGATACCAGCACCTACCTACATCGTCCCACTACTGGTTCTTATAAGCGCAGCGTGTGTCAGACCATCGGAAGCGATAGTAATACCACATATAGCATTCCAGACCCTCATTATTTTCATTGAGAATCTATCTATTTCAGTGAAACCGAATCCTGTCACGAACTTCTTGGTCCACGTGTGGAACAGGTCATGAAAAGAACGGTGATGTTCGCCCTGGATGGTGCGGCCCACCGCTTTGCCGTCGTACTCTACCACGACATGGCCGAACAGTTTGGTCCAGCTCAATTTACCATTCATTCTATAGACGTAACGACAAATGTCAATGAGAAACTGTGCTGACTCCAGCAACTTGATTTTGGGGGCGGAGGCGGGTGAAGAGTGCCAACCGCCTATGTCACGTCATGTCTGCTTGTCTGCGTCCTCTCAGCGGGTGTATTTTTGTTGTCTTTTTGTGCTCCGATCTTTCGCCCTGATGCGTACAGTCGTTTTCGCGGACGCAGCGCGTCAAGGGAGCTGATTTTGGCGTAGGACCAGCCTGTTCCCCACCAACTGTGTGGAAATGATGGGGCTGGCGCCGCACAAAGCCAGCCCTTCTGAAATGCCCTAGCGTCTCCAGCGAAAACGACTATGATTTCTTCGCACTAACCATAAGCTCGGTATTATTTCAGGTGTAACTAATAACGGCATTAGGTGCTACTTTTTTTTGACGATTCCGGTCATCACCTGACTTTCTCTTTCGGTGGCGGGCTTAGGGACCACTGACCGCTTCCAGCTTCATTTTTGAACCGCACTACTTACGCCTTTATCGTGAAATACGCCTTGGAAATTGAAAATGATATCCGGTTACTCATCACGATCCCCTGGCACCAGCCCTCGAGGGAAACAGTCAAGCAATGCGCCGTCTTCACGGTGCGCTCCTACTCCTATAATCTTGCTCGCAGCGGATGATAGAGCTTGTCAAGGGGGGAAGGGTTCGGAGCGGTTTCGGCTCGTTTTTTCTTTGGGTAAGCGACAAGAATGTACCGTATCGTTCGCATTAGGGGTTTTCCACCAACTGTTGTCGCTTACCCGCTTCAACTACTGCTGGAGAACGACCTGGCAGCGCGCCAAATTCAGTCTCACTGACGCACCCCATAATCAGCAGCGAACAAGATTGTAACTTGGCAAAGAGGAGACCGCACTACTGGGGGGGGGGGTGACATCATGATCGTGTGTTTCCTCCCATCTGTTCAATGCGGAACACGCCTTTGACAATCCACTGTGTCAATTCTCTCATTTCAAAAGAAAGAACTTTCACCGATTTTTGCTTGAGTTCAATTTCAGTTTAGCTTCTGTTTCAATTTAATTTTCTTTTCATTTTCAATTTTGTCCAACAGTTGTTATTTTGAACCTGGGTCAGGATTTTTTGTGCAATTTAATTATGGAACGCTCCCTTTGTGTATTGGCTCTGTATATATCTGAATCTTTGTCACCCAAAAATAAATTTTTGGATAACTGTTGAAAAACTTACTTTCGATGTGACACTCTTGTCCCATCTGTTCACATAAAGTCTCACTTCATTCAATGCGAAAAAGGGCGACACATGATGTGCAATCCAGGCACACCATCTGCCTTTGCTGTTCAACCAGAGAGCGTTCGACTCCACAGAAATGTAGGATTTCCGAGAGAAACAGCATCATTTTCACTGAAACCCATTGTTTCATTTATTTGATAACTGCTCAACCCTGAAGCTCCAGCTTTTCCTAGGAGCATCAACATCTTTCAAGGGGTCCTATTAAAAGGCTGTTTGCTACGATACGCCTAGCATCTGTAACAGGGCATCCCTATATGACCCCCCCTCCCAACTAACTCAAATAACACCGGCCCTCTGCACCTCACCACAATCTCCTTTTCAATCCTTATGGTTAGTCCCCAATTTCTCTAATGCAAACAGT